TGTGTGTGTGTGTGTGTGTGTGGCCAGCTCAGCCCACCAGGGGGCGGGCGGGCTGGCTGGCATGTGGTGCTGGGGGATTGAACCGTGGTCCCTGTGCTTCGCTGAACTTGTTCTAAGTAGGTGCTTTAGACCACTGAGCCATCTCTCCAGCCCCGATATCTTTTATTAGTACATGTTCCCAGCACATGCATTTTACAATCATCTTGGGCATGTACGTAATACAACTTGCTTCCTTTGCCCACCTTTCCTCCTCATTCCTCCTAATTCCCCTTTCTCTGTTTTCATTTTATTGATACTATTAATCTCAGCTCATGTTTATGGTATATAATGTTTACATTCATTGAGGTTATTAGGTTCTTATACATGGTATAGCTTTATTCTGCTTATCTGCCCTCTGTTCCCCCTTATTGGTCTCTCGAGCCCCCTCCCATTTGCAAGTGATGCATCCCCTTGTCCCCTTTGATCTGTCTGTCCATCCTCTGTTGATCTCTTCATTTGTGCTTTGCCTTATGCAGATGAGGGCTACCATATGGGATTTAGGCTGTGTGTCTGGTTTATTTCACTCAACATATTTTCCAGATCATCCATTTTCCTACAAAGGTCTGAAATTGGTCCTCCTTGATAGCCAAGTCCCCGCCACAGACAGGTACCACATTTCCTATTCCATCACCTGTCGCTCCGTGTACAGGCTGCTTCAGTGATCTGGCTATAGGAGTGATGTTGTTGTGAACATTGGTGTGCATGTATCATGGCAGTACGTTCGAGAGAGCGCTGGTCTAGAGAGTACATTTGGTGTGGATGGATGTGGGTGTAGTGTTGAACAGAAAGTAGATTTGGGGTGGTCGGGGGTAACACTGGCTGGTGCAGTGAATTAGGGTGAGTCCAAGATGCTTAGCCTGTGCTCCTGCGTGGACAGAGCTGCCTGGGCAGGAGCTCTGCAGTCAGGGATGGATCAACAGTTGTGGCTTTGCTGTGTGCTGTGGAGATGCTTGTTGCCATGTGGTTGTATCTAGAAGGCAGATCTAAAGTTGGGGATTCAAGGGAAAAGCTGCAGCTGACTTTGGGAGTCTGTTAGTCACCAGGGCTGCTGTAACTACTCTGGACGGAAGGCTTACCCAGCAGACACTTGATTCTCACAGTTGTGAAGGCTGAAGCTCCCAGGTGAGGGTGGCAGCAGTCTGGTTCCCTGGAGGCCTCCCTCCATCACTTCTGCGTGTCTCCTTTTTTGCTGTGTCCTCTCATGGCCTTCCTCTATGTGCCTGTGTCCTGTGTCTCCTCTTACAAGGACACTGGTGGCATTACATTCGGACCCTCCTGAGGAGCCTCACTTAGCCTTAATCACCTGTCTCCGAATGCCATCACGTTGCAGGTGAAGGCTTCAGTGTATGAATTTTGAGTGTTATCATTTAGTCCATAACAGGGAGTGATCACATGGCGATGTTACAGCCACGGGGGCTGAGGGGATCGTGCACAGAGGAAGAAGAGATAACCTAAATCAGCCTAGGCTCTGCAACGTGCAGGGGCCAAGCGAATAAATGGAGCCGCAAGGGAGATGGGAAGGGAGCAGTGTGGCCACAGCTGGGTGGCTGGCTGGGTGGGAGTGTCATGGAGACTCTGAGATGGGAGGGAGGACAGGGAGGCCCATTGTGGCGAGTGACTAGTAAGAGATGTCATTCAAGGGCTGGGAACGGGCCTGGGAGACTTGGGTAATGGTGATTGTTTCAGTGTGAAAGAAGCAAGAGGCTGGGAAAGGATAGGATAATTAGTCAGGTGTAGCGACCGTGGGGCTTAGAGGAGCGGCACCAGCAAGTGCATCGGGGTCGGTGGTTGTGGGAGGGCAGGAGGTCAGCTTCGGACTTAGCTGTTTGGTCTATGAAGAGTTTTTATTTCTTTAAATCTAGGAACTTTTGTCAAGCAGAGCTGGAAATAATTTGAAGGCATATGTTTTTATCTCAATTAAACACCCTTAGAATAGCTATGTGAATTATAAAACGGGGTCACAATTGTTAAAGAAGCACTAAAAGCCAAAAAATTGTATGCTGGCAATAACCCACATGTGTGTTGTTTTTAGTTGTTGCCAATAGGGGAAGAATTTTGAAAATACTGATTGTTAAGAGTAGGTAAAAATCATTGAATAGGACCAATGGTCCCATCTTTTGTTTCCTAAAGAGAATATTACATAATCTCCTAAAGAGAATATTACATAATCTCCTAAAGAGATTATGCATTATCTGTGTTTTGCTATGATTGTCATTCGTAGAGAAAATATTTTGCCAATTATTATCTATGTCAGAGATTCCTAAGGTGAATTAATAGCAGGAAAATTTAGGTAGCATCATTGAGTAATATATAAGTAAAGGAAAATCGAGGGAAAAAATATATATCACTGTGCCATCACTTTACTGATTTTTATTGAAATGACACATGAAGATTTTGAAAATACCCAAATTAAGCTTGCACAATTTACAACAGGTATTTTTGTGGCATTGATTGCATTGTACTTAGCTTAGTAATAATGGTGGTACAGATGAAACCCTGCAGAGGCGTGGTCATTTGTGTGAAGAGGTTAGAATCGTCTTTGTTTGAATCATTGTTACAGCTTTCTGTGTATTTAATTGCAGGACTATTTCCTGATGTGGGTGGAGGTTATTTCTTGCCAAGACTTAAAGGAAAACTGGGCTACTTCCTTGGACTGACAGGATTCAGACTGAAAGGCAGAGATGTGTACAGAGCAGGAATTGCCACGCACTTTGTAGATTCTGAAAAGGTAACTGTGTACGGAGGTGGGGGTAGCTAAGATCACAGATTTTTGGTTGATATGGTTGTGAACCTTGGCATTTGTGTATATATAGTTGTGTAACCAGGGAATTGTGCATAAGCTTCCAGATTCTCAGTTTCCTCAAGTCAAGAAGTGTGATCTTCAAATGATACCTTATCTGGGAGGAGGGTTTTTCAGGAGAAGGGAAGGACTATTATAAACATAAAATTAGAAAAATTATGCTACATGCTCAGCCCAGTAACTTTCAATTGTAATTTTCAGATTTTAGTTTAATATTTGTGTGTGTCTGTGTGTGGTACCTAGGATTGAGCTCAGGACGTTACACCTGCCAGGCAGGCACTTAGGCCACTGAGTTATATCCCTGGCCCTTATCTTAATATTTTTTAATTTAGCACACAGTGGGTGTATGCTTTAAAAAAAAAAGTGCTCAGATTTTTCTTTGAATTGCTTACATTCTACAGGGTAGACTACTGTAGCCATGTACTGCTTCCTAAAATTCTTCTCTTTGGCTCACTGGACCTTTGGTTTGAGTCCTGGGGATCAAACCACAGCAACCTGAGCCTGACTGCTTTGTTGAAGCAGCCACTTAAAGAACTGAACTAAGGGGCAGGCCCCCTCACTGGACCTTTGGACTATTATAAAATCCCTAAGTATGGTTAGCAAATTATAATTCTTTAATCTCATGACTCTTCTGTGACCTACCAACCATCAAAGTAAAATAGATAACATAGGAATGTATTGATAAGCTGCCAACAGAATTCTCTTCAAAGTTTATAAAACAGCTGTGAGAGTTTATCTCAGTCAACCTTGGTCTTCTTCCTCACACTGTTACGCATTCTGAAGAATGTACAAAGTATGGGAAATTGAAGGTTGTCCTTGTCCGGTGTCACAAGTTGAAATTTCAGGTCTGTCTTATGTTGTGGGCATCCTCAGACACATGGAGTAGACAGCCCTCTCTTCCTTCCCTTGTGCTAGTCCAGGAGGCCTGTGTGACTCTCCACTGTCCATCAGACAGGGTCACTTCCATGGAATTCAGCTCAGGGTAGGATGTGTACTCTTGCCCCCTTCTCAGCTCTGCAGCAGATAAATTGCCCTTCACAGGGCTACAGTAGACATAAAAATAAGCAACGCATATTGAGGGTAGGTCAGGAGTGGACAAAGGGTAAGTCCCTGTTATATGGTTTATGCGTAGATGTCCCCCCAAAGCCTCATGTACTTTAGAGAGGGCTTTTTTCAGAGGTAGCTGAATCTAGATTGTGTGATCAGTTCATGGTTTAGTGCTGGGGTAAGGTGTACTGGCATTAAGAGTGAGTGATCCCTGGATCAGTTCACTGATTGGATTGCCACCACCCTACTCCCAGCAGTCTGGGTAAGGCAGAGGGGCAGAAGGCTTGTTTGCCCTTTTTCTCTTGTTGCTTTTAGCATCTTCCCCCTCCATGAATGGTTGCTCCTCTGCCATGTGCCACCCTGCCTTGGAGCCAGCCAATTATGGACTGAAATCCCTGCAAACTGCGCGCTAAATAAACTTTTCCTCATTTAATCCTGAATGTGGGGCATTGTGTCTCAGCAGTGAGAGAAAAGTAACTAAGACAATCACCATCTGTCTTGTGTGGCAGAGTATAGTGCGGTAAGTGCAGAAACAGAACATGTGCAAGAATAGTACTCAGCATGGAGGCAGGAAGAGCTTCCTCTAAGGAAGGTCTAAAACTTTTTTCTCCAGGGTACAGTTTGGCTGGCATTAAGGTGAGTGTTGTCAGGCACTTGAAGCTGATCAGATACACTGCAGGGGCAGGGAGCCAGCAAGAACACCGTGTGGCTGTGGCGAGATCCTGGTGCCTCGCTGGAGCGGGTGGAGCTGTGATTACAGGCCTGTGGGGGACTGCTGTAGCCACAAGCTATGTGTATCATCTTAAAATTATGTACGGTGGTGGTAATGCCTCAGTTCACAAACTTAATTTGTCCTGTGGTTTTGGAAAAGACAGCAGTAGTCGTGTGTGTCATCTGCTGTAGGGTTTGCAAACAGAAACAAAATTTTGCCAAATGCTTTTTGTTTGTGAACCAAAATGTTCACAAACAAAAGTGTCATGAACCAAGTCACCACTGTAAATCAGTTTTTGTAAATCAGCCCTCCGGCTGTGACACAAGGTCAGTATCTTTTATCTGAAATGGCTGGGACTAGCAGTGTTCTGGGCTCGGATGTGCGGTGCTCCCTAGCTCCTTCTGTGGCGTCCATGCTGAGGCAGCTTTTGCCACGCAGGCCTGGGGTGCACCGCACTCGGCACGGTTCTCCTAGGCTCAGCCAGAGAGTCAGCGTCAGCATTTTGAGACAAAGATTCTAGAATGAAATAGGATTTGGTGGCTTTCTGTGTACCTGTGGACTTTAATCTGTTTTCCTTTCTCTCTCCCTTTAGTTGCCCATGTTAGAGGAAGATTTGTCAGCCTTGAAGTCTCCTTCCAAAGAAAACATAGCCGAAGTCCTAGGAACCTACCACGCAGAGGTAATCCTGCCGTGTTCTGCCTCAGGGTTTTGCACTGGTGGCAGGAGTGAGCTGTGGGCAAATAGCAGGGACAAGACAAAATGGCCCTGGCGAGCTTCCGGGCAGGGCCCGACTCGGCAGCGCAGAGGCTCTCACCACGCAGCGTCATGGCAGTTCTGTTGCAGGACGCAGCGCTCACGCTAGTCGTAGAGCTGCTGAGTGGAGTGTGTCCGTATCTCTAATAGTAAAATACAGAGCAGTGTTTCATTCCTTGCTTTCCAAGTTTTCATTCCTTGTTATCCAACTTTAATTTTCTTATAAAAACCAAGACTCTAAAAACACCGTACAAAATCTAGTTGTACATCATGGTAATGAATTCATGCTTCCTGAAGCTCCACTAAAATTTAGTAGGGGAGTGAAACAAGGCATAAGCCCACAAAGTCAAACAGAACAAAAGAGGAGAGACGGCACATGGGAGATGTCAGGATTTTGGAAGCTAGAGAGCAGAAGTGAAAGGGGCAGGGTAGCTAACAGACCTGAGACTGCCAGAATCATTCTTCAGGGAGGGCGGCAGGCACGAAGTGCACAGACTCCTGCTCTAGACCTTTTGGAAGAAGCCCGGCGTCTCTGAGGATGGGCATGGAGGAATGGCGTGACTCGGCAGTGGAGATGGGGCGTTTGCCTAGCACATACAGCTCTGGCTCTGCTCCCCAGCACTGGTGAGAAAAAGGACAAAGACTGGAAAGAGGCTTAGAGCAGAAAAATAGGATTTCTTACAAGTTTCTTTTTCCATCATTTCATTGAGAAACAGCAATGAGACAGTTTCAAACCAAATTGGTAGAACAGTTTCAATAATTAACACATTGCATATATTCTTCCTAGTGGTTAATTGCTGTACAAGATGCGGACTTGAGATCCTATTTACAAACACCATTAGAACAAATCCCTCTATTCATTAAGAGAATGTAACTATATATCTATCCTAACCACTTTGAATACACAGATACAAAATGGACATTCATCTGTATCCCCTTTTTTGTTAAGTTCCGTTATTTGAATATTATAGGTATGTAAACTCAGCAAAATATTCTAAAAGAGTCCAGTAGCCCATAATAGTATTGGGTCTTCCACTAGACTGGCAGTGTCAGAAGTTGTTGACCTGAGTCCCCTACAGCTCAACATAACAGCAGGGCTTTACTTCTTATACTTCGTTTTTATACTTTTCTGCTGGATGGCTAAGACCAAGGTATCTTACAAGTTTTTCTAAGCAGCAGTTGGAGTTCCAAAAGTCCTCATCCTGTACAACCAGGAGAAGCCGTCTTCTCTGAGGCGGCAGCAGCGTAGAAACCGACTTTACTGAAGCAGATGGGAGAGCGCAGGTTGGTGAGGCGAGCGGTGAGAAGAGGAGGCGTGCACCCAGGGGGATACCTGCAGCCATGCACAGCCAGCAGAGCCAGGGGGCCGCCACCGCCCACACTCAACACAAGGGAAGAAGAGGAAAGAAACCCACGGATGCTGACTGTCCTGGACCCCTAAGGACACATCGGTACTTGAGTGACGACCTTAGAAGCGTCACATATAATTAATTGATAGTCCTAAAATTGACAGCATGCAGAAAGCTTCCTGTCCTCCAAGGAAAGACTGTTGCTGGGGCAGAATACAAGGCACTAAAAGACAGCAGTCGGTCAAAGAAAGGAGAAGCCTGTAAACAAAGTGCCTCCGAGAACTTCGAGTTGCTCCTTTCACATGGCAGCCACTGTGTCACCTGAGGAATAGCCACTGTATGAGAAGAATGAGGCATTTAAAATTTGGAGCAAAAATGGGAAAACCCCACAACAGATTGATTAGAATTGACAGTTGAGGAGAGGCTCTTAAGAAAGGGGGAAAAGGGCTGACTAGATAGCTCAGCGGATTAAAGCACCTGCTTAGGCAGACATAGACACAGGGATGCCATGCTGGCCCCACCCCTGGGGTGTGCTGAGACAGCGATTGAGACTGGGCATGGTGGCACGCTCCCGTAATCCCAGCGCTTGGGAGGCAGAAAACAGGAGGATCACTACGAGTCTGATCTGTATAGTGAGACCCTGTACTAAATAAAAAAAGGGGAGGGGGAAGGATAGTAAGATGCAATATGGAGGTGCAGCAAGCTGAATTCTTTCCATGATTCTGGTCACAAACCAAACTGGATGAGAACCGAGTCGTGTCAGTGGTTAGGTTCAGTGGTGACCGTAGGGGACATTTGATTTGGCTCTCATCCAATTTGGTTTTTGACCAGAAATGTGAAAAGAATTAACTTTATAGGCCAAGATACATATGTATTTAACTATTAAGAATTCATTACAGAGAATTGAGGTAAAGGAAATGTTTAGAGAAATAGTACAAAGAATCACCCAGAACTGAACTCCAGTACGTGGTCAGGGCCTCAAGTCCTTGGTGTGATGAGTGTAAATTAGATGAGGGGGCCTCATCCCGGGCTGTTGGAGCACCAGCCCCCTCTGCAGTCATGAGGTGTGGGGCTCAGGTGGCTTCTCAGAGTTCTGCTCCACATGCAAGTCATAGCCTACGGAGGTCATTTTGGATTTCTTATTTTTCTCAGTGTTTTGCGTGAGAATCTTGATGGCATGTTAATCAAATTGACTTTAAGATAGGGAAAAGAGTAGAGGTGAAAACACCCTGTTACCCACTAGAAGCCTGTGAAATTTAGTAAAGACAGGTGAGACTTATTTACAGTACTCAGTGCAGGATGAATTCGCAGAGGAAGGTGGAGGAAGTGTAGCCCACAGGCACAGATTTGTTTTTCCAGTTTAACTGACTGGACCTTGGAACAACAGGCTGTGTGATGGGCTGGGTCAGCAGGAACCCAGCAGTTTCATCCTGTTGCAAAACTATTCAAAGCAAGTGCGGCCTGTGAGCCCTGTTGCACTTCTGGGGTGCTGGGGTGTGACTGCAGTGGGAGTGTGTGGTCTTCACTTTATGAATGACCCCAGTGACTGGATGTAGTCACAGGAACCATCTGGATTGGGACGGTGCATGGAGTTGTGCCATGTGCCAAATGATTAAGGTGAAAGAGATGAACTAGACATGCAAACATGAGGGTACTGAACGGCAGGGGCTGTGGCCAGGTTGCCAGGCACCTTTCTCTGCTTGCAGGTCAAAGCTGCCAGGATACCAGGAGGGCAATGGGGATTTCTAGGCGGGATGGAGAGATTGGCAGGATGAACTCTCAGTCCCCCCCATGAGATCATAATGACATAAATAAAAGTACAGACACCTTTTGCCTTGGACACTTACGAGCTAGCGTAAAGTACTGCATCCTGCCTGAATCTCGAGCATATGGTGGTGGTTATTTATGGGGCAGGTAGATATAATTTGAGTGAAAGTGGTGATCTATTACAAAGTATGTTATGAAATGTGAAATTTTTAAAATTTTAAAAAGATTTGAGTTACTTCAAATTATCTCTTTTCAAACAGTCGAAGATTGATCAAGACAAACCTTTTTCACTTGAAGAGCATATGGACAAAATAAACAGGTACTTTAAAAGACATCTCAGTTATATCTATTCCTTTGGAAATACTATATTAAACTTACTGAACTTACAATTTTATTGTGCTTGGTAATACATCAAATTCTGAGATCAGATAGCATAGTACTTTATTCTCACTTAATTTTGAAAATAACTTCTGCTTAGCAATCATCTGTGCTAATTCTTTTACTGCAGAATGTCTCTTTTAAAGTGGGAAGACAGGCTAGAAAGTAATGATTGAATTAATTTATCTTTATAAAGTCATCTTCCCTGAAGGTGAATGTCTGCAGTGACTTAAGAAATTGACAGTGGATGGGGAGATAGCTCAGTAGAATATGCGCTTCCTGACAAGCGCAAGGGCCTGAGTTCAGTCCCCGGTTCAACCAAAGAAATTGACAGAACGGCCTAAGGAAAGAAGAGGAAGAAAGTGTTAGAAAATGATACACCCATCTTTTCATTTCAGAAGCATGTTTTCTACAGTTGAAATATTTATATACTGCATCATCCATGTAAAAAAGCAAAATGGAAGATGTAAGATTTATTTTGCACTAGTTACACTACAAACATCTTTACCCAGGGAAGTAATGTTCTATCATGCTGTGAAATAAATTGGGAAATTCTTCATTATTGAAACCTGTGTGCAGATCTGTTCCCATTTTAGAAATAAGAAATTAGTTGCACACTGGTAAAGGCAAGTGTTTGCTGCTTTTAGGTGCTTTTCAGCCAAAACTGTGGAGGGGATTATGGAAAACCTGCAGCGAGATGGCTCACCCTTTGCCTTGGAACAGTTGCAGGTGAGGATGACTATCTTAGTTACTCTTCTCTCATTGCTGGGACAAAATACCCATACCCAGAATGAAGGAAAGAAAGGTTTATTTAGCTCCCAATGGAGGTCTCAGTCCATACTCAGCTGGCTCCAAGGCAGAGTGGCAGATGGCAGAGAGCAACCATTTGTGGTAGTGGCAAAGAGCAAAGGAAAAAGGGAGGAGCGGTGACAGCAGTGGCAGAGGCAGGCCTCTCTCCTCCATGTCTGCACCAGGCTGGGTGTTGCACTGACACCCATAATCCCAGAAGTATTCAGACACATAATCCCAGCCTTGGATCATTTTAGAGATCGTTTGGCATTTTAGTCCATGTCTAAGAGTTGCCAAAGTCCTACACTTTTAGCATTGCTGAATAGTCCAAGTCTCCAAGATCTAAGGCAAACTCTGAGCTGTGAGTACCTGTACTAATGAGAAGCTCAATACATCCAACATTCAGTGGCACAAGATAAATGTAACCATTCCAAAAGGTACAGCAGCATACCAAGCATTGGGACCAAAGCAAGCCCGAAATTGAGAAGGGTGAACATTAAGTCCTGTAGTTCCATGTGGAGCATCAGAAGCAATCTGTGGCAAATTGTGAACTCCGTGTGGCTCCGCCCCCGTGGCTTCTCTCTCAACGCTGGCCTTGCCCCCTCCTTGTAGTTTCCCTTAGGTGATTCCACGATCGTGGCTTTTCCAAACCGCTGGGGTTTACACTGCACATTAAGCTCACTCTCTGCTTCACCCAGACCGCCTGGCCTCCCAGGCCTTCTGAAATCTGGATGGAGACCTTTTTATCCTCCGAACTCTTGCATTCTGCCTGGGCCTAAAGCAGCGCCACGTGGCCGATGCCAGCATCTACCGCCAGCTGGAGCAGCCGCCGGGCTTTCTTCTCTCGGCTGTAGGGGTCGAGTGCCTGGATCACTGAGCACTCTGCCCCTGATTCTGAGAAGCAGATTCTCTAGACCAGGCACTGTGCAGCTTTCTCCTCAAGGCAAAGTCCCTCACCCTTGTACTTCTGAGACTGGAAAGGGCAGAGACGGCTGCCTCCTGTGCCCTCAGGCTGTACATTCCCTCCTCTAGTTCCTTCCTGGGGATGGAGATCCTCTCAGCTCTGTCTTTGCCGTCCAAAGCTTTACTGGTGCTTCCCTTTCTGGCCAAACGTACAGCATTTATTCATCCTGCTGGGCTCATTGCTCTTGATTCTCAACATCATTTGACTAAAAGCCCCAACAATAGCCGTACCACCGCTTCAGCTTTGGACTGCCTTGCGATTTCCTTTGTGAAATGAATCAGTCCGCTATACCTAATCTCAGTCTCAAGCAAAGTCTCTGGATATGAGCACATGCAGATAAACTTTCTTCCAGGCTGTAACACAGATCATCTGGTGTTTACTGGCAGGATTTCTATCAGCCTTTTGGTTTCCTGAGCTCTGACCAGAATCTTCCATACAGAACAGCTTCAGCACTTCTCTTATAGGTGACATCTCCAGACCTTTCCTGTCTCTTCTATGCCATTTCCAAAAGCTCATAATCCACGTGGCAGAATGGCACGTGACAGAGAGCAACCATTCGTGGCAGTGGCAAAGAGCAAAGGAAACAGGGAGGAGCAGTGGTGGCAGTGGCAGAGGCAAGCCTTTCTCCTCATCTTCCCCAGCCTGTGTAGCACTCAGACTCAGAATCCCAGCCTTGGACCATGAATTAATCACAAACTCTAGAACCATGCCCCAGTGACTACATGAGGCTTTGGGAGACAAATACATACCATAACAATGATGCCTGGCTGCAAGCTCTCTGGAATGCGCTGAGGTTGAGGCCGGGGTGCCTGTGAGGACTCTCGTGCCCTGTGGTGGTGGCACGCCGAGCTCTGAAAGTGGTTCCACAGCTCTGGTGAAGGAATGTGGCCCCGGAGCCTGGGTGTCTGCTGGGAGGAGCATGATGTGGGGGTCAGGACACGGAGTCAGTCTTGACAGCTTAGTTACAGGCTCCTTCAGTTATGTAAACTACAAGTGCACCAAAAACCTACCTAACTCTGAGATTAACAGCAGTGGCTAGTGACTTGCCCAAAGGTGCGTCTGCATATATTAAAGATGATTCAAGGGATTGTGGAGATAGCTCAGTGGTCTGATTGCTTGTCTAGGCAAGTACAAGGATCTGGGTTCAGTCCTGGGTACCACAGGCCATTCCAGTCCCACCCCTAGGTGCACCAAGAGAGCCAGCCACCAAGACTGGGCATGGTGGCACGCATCTGTAATCCAAATACTGGGGAGGCTAAAACAGGAGGATCATTAGGAGTCTGAGCCATGTAGTGAGACCCTGTACCAAATACATAATATTGAGAAAGAAAAATTAGGCTGGTGAGATGGCTCAGTGGTCTAAAGCACCTACTTAGAACAAGCTTAGCAAAGCACAGGGACCGCGGTTCAATCCCCCAGCACCACATGGCAGCCGGCCCGCCCCCTGGTGGGCTGAGCTGGCCACACACTCACATGAATAAATAAAATTTTTAAAAAAAAGAAAAATTAAAGATGATTCAAGCACTTCTTTTTGCAGACTTCTGGATCTCCTCGCCCCTGTAGTAGAGTTGCTGGAGAGCGTGATAATTCTGTTTCTCACTTTCTAGGGGTCACTGTCATGTTTCTACTGCAGCTACTGCTCTCTTTGATCCCACCAAGAGCAGGCGGCTTCCGTTCTCCTAGGATCCTTGCCAGCACTTGCTCTGTGTTTTCTTGGCCGGAGCCCTCCTAATGGTCAGGAGATAGCTCAGGGTAGCTTTGACCCAGATTTTCCTAATAATGATTGATTTTGACCATCTTTTTCTATGTTTGTTATCCATTTGCATATCTTTGGAGCAATACCAGTTCAAGTCTTCTGCCCATTTCTCAGTTGGGTTTTCAGGGGGACTTTCGCTGCTAAGTTGTCGGAAGTAAGGAGGCTAAAACAGGAGGATCTGGGGATTGAAGCTGCACCTTGCACAAGCCCAGCAGGTGCTGCTGAGTCCTGGCTGCAGCCCAGCTCGTGCTTGTGACCGTCCCTTCCCTGATGATGAGGCTGCCTTGATTTACTCCTCTGCCGTGTGTTACAAGATAAAGTTTCTCTCTGGATATTCATGGCTTAGGCTGTGTGTATCTAAATGCTTAGGTAGCTGAGATCATCATTTATGCTAGGCAGAATCCAAATGTATACACAAAAAGTTGTAGGTACAGAATTTATTTGTAATAGACTAAAAAATTTTTTGTTTGGTGTTTTGTTAGGATTAGGCCAAAATCTCTTTCATGAGAAGGTTTTGTGGAAAATTTAAGGGCTGTGTTTTAATGACATACAGAAATTGTTAGTTTATTATAAGTAATAACAGAGCTATTGAGCTATAACTAGTGGTTTTTTCCCCCCAAAGGTAATTAATAAAATGTCTCCAACATCCTTAAAGATCACACTACGGCAGCTCACGGAGGGGGCCTCCAAGAGCTTGCAGGAAGTGTTCACTATGGAGTACCGGCTGAGTCAGATGTGCATGGTAAGAATCCTGACTGTAAATGTACTGGCACTTTGTAGTTAGGAAAATAATGTGTGTGCATTACAGAACATGTTAAAACACGGAAGAGCAGAAACAGAATTGAAACTATTTGCAAATGAAAACACATGCCAGTTAACTTTAGGTGTGTCGAAATCTCCCACCCACCTTGCTATTAAGCCTTCAGCAAACAGCAGCTGCGTTTGCATGAAGCACAGGAAGACCCCTAACCTTATGTGGAATTCAGAATAGAAAGTGACCAGCTTTCCAAGCATGGTTTCTGTGACCTGGGGCAAGAAGTATAAATACTCTAAATCCGAATTTTTGTGTTGGTAAAATCAGAAATACTGCTTTAATACAGACAGAGATGTATAATGTACCAAGGGAAGCTATCAGTCTGTTCCATACCTTACAGCTGATAGGTTAACAGTGGAGGCAACATCGTAAGTAGCAATCACAGGAGATACTCATGTCATATAAGATCCTAGCAGGCTGGTTTCTTCTGTTTCCATGTTAAACTTTTTAAAGGTAGAATCATTTCTTATATTCAGAGAGCCCTCAAGAAGTCTTATTTAGATTTATCAACTTGCAGTCAAAAGGGAATATTTGGCTTAATACCCACAAAGCAGACATTCATAGTGAACTTGAGGGCTCTGAAATGGTTATTACGATATTGAAAGTAGCTCATCTAATTAGCAATAAAGCTCTCGGCCATGTCTTGAAGCCACTCCTTGGAGGACATCAGTGGCAATCTATTGAATGCTTGCTATGTGCAGGTGCCTTACTTGCGTTTCCTCCATGAAACCAGAGGCCGTCTCTAGAAGGCTGTCAGCCTCGTGACAGATGTGGAAATTGTAACCTGTGGTTGCCGCAGGGGACCAGATGTTCTTTGGCCATTGCCCACTTGTCGCAGTACCTCCACTGCACCTCCCTCCCTCCCTCCGCAGCTGTGCCAGCCCCAGGAGGTGTGGTTGAAGGTGCTGGGGTCTAAAATTAGGCACAGCCCTTTGTTGCATGCAGCTTAGTTCACTGAGACAATAAAAAACAACAGAGTGGGATAACTGTAACTTAGGAAAGTGCTCAGAGACAAACGTATAGGCTTGGTTATCAGGGAGAATGACACAGGGACAGAATGGAGGTGAGGAAGCAAAGAAAACCCTGGTTGAAGTAAGTAGGCAACGAGTGACCTCCTGGCGTTAAAGCCGGTGATCATGTTTTCGTTTGGTTTTATTCCATTTGTTCTAAGCAGGTAGCTAGTATTGCTGCCTAGACATGGTAGATGGGCTTCAGGAGAGAATAGAGGAACAGGGAGGCTGTCACTGCAGGGAGCAGGTGCAAGACACTTGTGGCCTAGGGCCACCAAGGATGATGCTGGCGCGATGTGATGCAGGAGGGAGAACCAGAAGGCACAACAGCATGAGGGAGAGGGTTTGGGGTGCAGCTTAGAGATTCATGGCTGAGGGACCCTGGCACCCTTTGACAACACCAGGGATTTATTATCTCCATGAGAGTAGTTAGTGTGCCTTACCGAGTTTCCTCCAACAAACCCCTTCCCTGGTAGGACTTACTTTATGGTGGAGAAGTAAAATGCAAATATGGTAAGTCTGTACTATATTAGTCTAAATGTTGACGAGAAAAATGAAGCCCGGAAGGCAGGAAGGCTGTATGCACCATGTGGGAGGGGCAGGCTGCAGCCACCCAAGTGTTTCCGGGCTAGGAATGGGGGGCTGTGCTTTTTGTTTATCAGAGGGAAGAGTTTACATCATCAGCTGAAGGCAGTGGTTGATACACAGTGTCAACTTAAGAAGTTTAGAAGTTAAGCAACTCAGCAGGAGTCCAGGTCCTCCCTTTAAGACCCTGGGCCTCCTACACAGAGTGTGCCCAGGGAAGAGGCTCTGGGTTGAGGGGACTCATTGAGGTTGTGTCTGGGTTCTCTGCCCATGTAAGATCTGTGGTCATGAAGTTTAACTACAGCTGTGCACAGCTGGGTGATTTTTCTACAGCAAGATAAAGTTCCTGTAGTGCAAGCGGAGGTCAGTGGTGGAGATGTTGCCAGGATGGCATAGGTGAGGAAGAGCTGTGGGGAGACGAGCACCTTCACAGGAGAGGCGAGAGGGCCTGTAGTGGAGCAGAGCTCACCAGGAAACGGACCCGGAGTCACCCTGTTGAATCTTGATCTGCTTGCAGAGTCATCATGACTTTCATGAAGGCATTAGAGCTGGTAAGTTACCAAGAGCTGTGTTTCCTTGTGGGTCTCCAGGAAGCTGGCTCTGTGAGCATGCACTGTTAAAGATGGCAGCTTTATTAATGAAAGCTAAAATTTAATAAGGATTTTGAAGTTGTGTGTGTGAAAGTGTAAGTACCCAGGGCCAGGTGTGGTGGCACGTGTCTCACGTTAGCTACTCAGGCCGAGGCAAGAGGATCACAAGTTCAAGCTCAGCTGCAAACTCCCATCTCAAAACATTTTTAAAATGGCTGGAAGGGCCAGCCAGACAGCTTAGCGGACTAAAGCCCCTGCTTAGGCAGAGCGCAATGGCCAGGGTTCGATCCCTGACATGTTGTGCCAACCCTGCCCCCAGGTGTGCTGAGATAGCTATTGAGACTGGGCGTGGTGGTGCATGCCTGTAATCCCAGCACTTGGGAGGCTGAAAACAGGAGGATCATGAGTCTGATCTATGTAGTGAGACCCTATAGACCCTGTCCTAAAATACATTTAAAAAAAAAAAAAAGTAAAATATAAAATGGCTGGGGATGTAGCTCAGTGGTAGAACACTGGCTTTGCACGTGTACGGCCCTGGGTTCAATTCCCAGCGCCGCAAAA